TGTGTTGCCCTGCTTCTGTCGTCAAAGTTGCCTGTGTCTTCTAGTTGTGTTGCCCTTCTTCTATCTTTGCACTTCTCTGTCTGATCAATCGTCTATCTCCAAGTAGTTTTGGCCTGCTTCTCTCGCAGTTGTCTAACTGATCAGTTGTATATTTCAAGTTGTGATTTTCACTGTCACAACTCCACTGCAAATCTCAGCTTTTTTCCTTATTCGTTTGAACAAACAGTCAATCTTGACTCCTGACTTCTCACTCGTGATTGGGCATCTGGGCCCATAACCTATCAAGGTTAATGCAGCGACAAACGTTAATTATTAAGGAGTGAATTAATGAGATTTGAGTGATAATTCCAGTAGCAAATCAGATCAAATATATATGGTAAATCACCCGCACAAAGTTGCTCGAACCAATGACTAAAGGTCAGGTTTCACCAGCTAATTTTAACAAAAATTGGGAAGTGATCTTTCAGTTTGAACTAAATAAGAAAGATCAACCAGTTCAGTTAGGAAAAATCACCAATAATCAAGGTTATTGCAGCGACTAACGTTAATTAATAAGGAGTGAATTAATGAGATTTGAGTGATAATTCCAGTAGCAAATCAGATCAAATATATATGGTAAATCACCCGCACAAAGTTGCTCGAACCAATGACTAAAGGTCATGTTTCACCAGCTAATTTTAACAAAAATCGGGAAGTGATCTTTCAGTTTGAACTGAATAAGAAAGATCAATTCCAGTTCAGTTAGGAAAAATCACCAATACCCCGCCTTTCAAATTAGGTGGTTCCTAGTAGAATGTCTCGGAAAAATGCAGTTTTGCACTTTCCCAAGTTTTTCGTCAATGCGTCTGCAGGCATGTTTGCTGTTGGTAAAAAGGTTAATGTCACCTTCTTCTGTTCAACTAACTCTCGAAGGAAGTGTAGTTTTATGGCAAAATGCTTCGTCTTGCCGTGGTTCATTGAGTGTTTACTAATGAACTTTTTCTGTGCTTGGCAATGTTTTGCAATATGTCCAAACTCCTTGCACTCATAGCACTGAATTTTTCGAGCTCTATCTTCACTATCTCGCTTATCTCAATTTTTTCAGAGATATTGCTTTCAAACCAGCTACAGAAATTTTTGTCTGCTCCACAAACCACTATATCATATCTATGTCCATCCTCTGCTAGCGGGTCGATAGGACCTAAAATATCTTTGTGAACAAAATCTAGTGTCCTGGTTGCCCTGGTATAAGAATCTTTCGGGACTGGCTTCTTTTTTGCTTTATTCAACTCACAAGTTTCACAATTCTCAATTTTAAAATCATTAATCTTCATGCCTTCAACATGTTGCTGACTTAAATCTTAGTAGTTATTATGACCCATCCTGCAATGCCACTGTTTCAATGTGCTTACTACCTAACACTCGTCTTTTCCTACAAAAGTGTCCCATAAAAAGAGACCACTTTCCTCTCTTAATGGGTAAACTGATCCATTTCCCTGGCGAACAAACGAGCTCGCACCAAAAACAACTTCTGCTCCTGCTTCCTTCATTTTTGATACACTCAGCAATTTTCTTCAATTTTTAGGAACGTACAAAATATCCTTCAGCTCAATCATCTTAAACTCGCCTTTCTCATTCATTCACTCCTTAATAATTAACGTTTGTCGCTGCAATAACCTTGATTATTGAAAATTTTTGTGGCCAGTGGACTTTTGTATTCAAGTCTCGATGAACGTGGTTGTGTTAATTTTTTTTGAATTCTGGTTTTGATATTCGATTCAAATTTTTTATTTTTTCAGTGAAATCAAAAAATTCATCTATTGATCTAGTTTTCTCATATCTACGGAAAAAATCATAATATGTTTTTGAAATTCAAAGAGTTGTAGGCCATATGTTTTTTAAGTCCAGGCTAAAGTTTGATTTTTACTGTTTTGCTTCTGATTTCTTTCTAAGTTCAGTTAATTTCCTTTGTTAAAAGGAAGGCAAAATCCACTATATAACAGCGAAAAATTAAAGTTCACGAAAAACTTGATCGACTTCGAAAATCGAAAATGGATTTAATTATCAGAATTGCCAGCAACAGAAAGTTAGACACCTATTGATCCAGTTTTCTCAAAATGGGTTAATTTTATCAAAATAGCGTCCATCTTAACTTGTTCAAATAATTCAGAGAGCCTTAAGATCATCTACTTTTTCTTCGAAATTCAAAAGTCAGTGATTTTTGAAAAAAAAACGAGTCATTATTTTTTGTATACTTGTGTTCATCTCTTATTCATCTGTCTGTTCGCTATGTTTGAAAGTATTGATTGTGGTGAGTACTCTTTTAGAGTTTGTGGTGATTTTTGTTTTTTTTTTCTACGAAAAGTCTTTTAGTTCACGCTCAGTTATGATTTTTTCGCTGTTTGTATCTGATTTCGATATATTTCAATTTAATCATATTTAGACTTATTTAAGAATCAACAGTTTAAAGGAATATGTTGTTGCTTTGTTTTGGGCTGGTGTTAGGTTCTATTTGAAAAAAAAAAACATGTATTTTGAAAACATGTATTATGAAATTTTTTTTTTTTTTTGCAATGCTTTGGAGTTTTTTTGCACTTTTCGCAGAAATTTCAAAAAATGGTACCAATGGAAAAACCGGCTGTTCTTCTATGTGCCTGCATATTTAGCTAGTCTATTTTCATTTTACCTCGAGTTCTGCGTCCTTCGAAAGTTTCACTGGGGTCTTTTTGACCTATTTGTTTAAGAGTTCTTACTGATTTTTTTTTCAGGAAAAGTTTCAAAAAATCTCTAAACTACAGATGTGCATTCATAAATTTTGATGCATTTAAGAATGCACTTGGATATATATGCACTTTTTGAGTTCAAATAAAATTCATCTACTGAAAGTTACCGAAATTGAACTCTCCAAATACGAACGTGGAAATTGTGCGAAAACATGAACGGTTTCTAGTTTCGAAATTGGAATTTAATTTTTAGATTTCCAGCGTAATAAAAAGCTTACCTATTGATCCAGTTTTCTCTAGTTGGGTTCATGTTATCAAAAAAACGCCAATCATAAGTTGTTCTAGAAATTCAAAGAGCTTAAAGGGCGTCTAATATTTTTGTTTGAAATTCGAAAGTTGAGATTTTTTCAAGAACGTCAGTTTTTTTTCATCTTTACTTGCGTTCAGTACTCTTTTCCAATCTTCAATGGGCTGTTATGAATTTTTTCATTTTCTCAAATATTAAATGCACAAATCTGAGATGAAGGTTTTAATCAAGATAACAAATTATGAGATATCCCTTTCTCAAGTGGCTGTTCCCTAAAATCGATAGAAAAAAGATATGGCCTCAAACAAGCTCATTTTGTGACATTTTGGTTTAAAACTTGTCTCAAAAATACTATGTCAAATCGGAGATTAAAGATTCAACCGAAAGAAAATAATGACTTATGTGAGTCTTATAAATCAGTACCTGCACAAGTGGCAATGCCGTGCGTTGTGAAAAAAAAATTAAATGGCCTAGGAAATGTCCATATTTTGAAGTGTTGCTCGTTTTATGGAATGTTTTTTTTTTCGAAAACAAAATCTGCTGATTCTGAGATTGATAGTTCATTAAAAGTATCATGGTGCTTAGGTTTACCCTGCGTAATCTGTTTCAACATGTTTTTTTTTGTAGAAAAGCTGATATGGACTTCGGAAAAATTCATTTTCAATTTTAAACGTTTTTAGAAATTTCGTCATTAATGTATGAAAACTACGAGCTTAAACTGACATTAAGGTTTCAATCTAAAGAGTCAGGGCGCGGAAATCTTCAATCTAAAAACCAGACGTCGAAAGCTGAGGCTATGCCCATGCTTAGTAGAGAAGATTTTATGAATTTAGGAGTCTAATTTTGGATCGATTTTTGGATTGTTTTTCACTTTTTTTTCGAAAATTACTCATCCGAATCTGAGACAAAGAGTTCAATGGAAAGAGCGAGTAGTAGTTTTCTTCTTTGACTTAGCGATGATTTCCCTGCTTTAGTAGAGAAACACTAGGGTTTAGCGTAAAGTCCATTTTCTTTTGAAATTTATGCACTTCCGTATCAGTACAACATACGATTAAAAACATTAGAGTATGTAGATCTAGCATTATATGGGTCACTAGTTTACTTCCAAGCGACCACGGCGCAGATGCGAGGATGTGAGACTCCGTATTAACATGTCGGATATTCAAATCCGAAACATTTGAAGAAAAAAATTTTTGGCCGAGTTTTTGCTGCTTAACATTGGCAATTTCATAGAAACTAGCTGTTTTATCGATGACTAATGTTAGTAAAATTACAAGCGGTCGTGGAGCAGATGCGAGAACGTGTTAGTCCTAATTTCAACAAAATTTTTAAAGATGCTTAATTTATGTTTTCCTTATTTCACTTTGTTTTGCCAGTTTAGAGCTCTTTTTTGCAATTTCCGCGCTCGTATTTGCGAAGCGCAGCTTCGAGTCTGTGTGAAAAAGGCAAACTCCACTATCGGACAGCAAAAATGTAAGTATGACGAAAAACGTGATCGACTTCTAATTTCTAAAATGGAATTTAATTATCAGATTTCTAAGCGTAATAAAAGTTTTACTTGTTGATCCAGTTTTCTCAAAATGTGTTTGTTTTATCTAAAAAGCGTCAATAATAAATTGTTCTACAAATTCAAAAAGCTTTAAGGCCACCCATTTTTTCTTCGAAATTCGAACTTTGAAGGTTTTACAAAAAAAAGTAAGTTATTTTTTCAGTTTCCCTGCGTTCATTACTCTTTTCCATTTGTCAGCTGGCTATGTTCTGATTTTTGAAAATGAGGTTATATTACATGCTAACGACTCCCGTCCTTACGCTTCATTTAGCGGGCTATAAAGTTTTCAACCTACTGTAAACTAACAAAGGAGGATTAAGTTTTTGGGGATGGCTATTCACAATTTTTAAACAATAAACACGAAAGGATAACTTTTAATTTCGCATATCTTCACACAGATAATGAAGAGTAAATTGAGACCGTTTCAATTATACTGTTTTAGCTGGAAAGTGACTCGACCACTCTCACTCAGTTCGGATTCATGGCTCTCGGAGGAAAAGATTACGAGAGTGGCAGTTCGACCACATTTGGAGACAACACCCTAACAGCAGCCGAAGACCCTCACGAATCTTCGTCAGCCAATCAGAATTCAGTATCTAATGCTACTAATAATAACGATGGTCATCATCACTTGGATTGTAGCATGAGTTACCCGTTGTCAAGAACAAGGTGTGTTATAGTTTTTTCAAAGGTGATCACCCATCGGTTGTATTTACTAATTTGCTTTTGAGTAGCGACTTATGACGGGTTTTTTTTGAGTAGATGAACATAGAGTCGATGATTTATTTTTTTTGTGTTTTTTCAGGAAAATTCTTAAAATGCGCTGCTAACAAATACACATATGAACGCCCCCAGGTGTATGTGCCTTTTTTGAGTGCAATTCAAGTTCATTTGCTAGAGGATAGGCAAAATGCATTCTCTAATTATATAAGCTGAAAAGCCGCGTCAAAATGTGATCGATTTTATTGTTTTCATTTTATGTTTTCATGTTTTTTTTTGGTTTTTATGTTTTCATTTAGTCCTGCAGTTAGTAATTTTACTAGCCTTGACTTCGTATAATTTCCTCTTTTTTTTAGTTTTTTTGCTGGAAAATATTTTCGATCTAATTTTGGGTCGTTCGAGGGAAGCATAATATGAACGTTTTTCTTCGGATCGCACAAAACTTAAAAAATCTCAGAATAGAAATTATAGTTCAAAGTTTTTCATGACACCAGTTTTTTTTGCTCAAAAATTGTTTTAGAGTTTCATTAAACACCGTCTAATGTGTTTCTGGACGTGTTTTCCGCAAATAGAACATCATCCCAGAGAAAAGTTTTTTAGTTGTGATTTCTTCGGACAGATTTCCTAATTAGTGGCTTTTATTTCCTTTCTTAGTGCTAGCTCGCAATGCTTTTTTGTGGTATAGCAAGTGATGCAAAACTCCGCTTTGCCTCTTTCAACAAAAGTGCCACTTGATTATTGCTTTTGAGAATCAGAGAGCTTGAGGATTTTATGTTTGCTAGAGTCGATGAACGTAGTTCAGACTCTTATATAGGTCGTGATGATTTTTTAATGCTTCGTGATTTTTCTAGAAAATTTTCATGATGATTAAAAATTTTCAGGATCAAATTTACTTTTTCGCGCTTTGACATCTGATTTCTTCTAAGTTCAGTTCATTTCCTTTGTTAGAGGAGGCAAACTCCACCACTATTCAACAGAAAAAGTGTTAAGGTTGCAGAAAACGTGATCGACTTCTAATTTCGAAAATTGTTTTTAGGTATCAGAATTCCTAGCGAAATAAAAAATTTTACCATTTGATCCAGTTTTCTCAAATTGGATTAATTTTATCAAAAAAGTGTCCATCTTGAAAGCTGAAAATATTTTTTAAACAAGTCAGTATTTTTTTTTCTGTGTACTTGCGTGTATTGCCTCTTTTCCAACTGTCTACATCTTTGAATTTCGAACGTTGAAATTTCTATTTTCCTCAGCTCATTGAATGTTGTTGGCTACGTTTTGTCTGGTTGACCTTTTTAAATCTACTAGGCGTTTTTTGCTTGTATTTTCGTAGTACAGCTTCGCCTGTGTTGTAAATTCGGGCCGGATAAAAAAATGAACTGTATGTTTTTATTCAGTGTGCGAGAGTGAGTGGCGTTTATATAACTAAGAAACTTTGCACTAACTACTCAATGAAATGCGCTTATCTATTTTCAAAAAAAATTGATTTAGCTATTGAAATATTCACTTAATTAAAGCGCACTCAACGCTTGTTACTTGCTGGCCGAGGGAGAAATCTGATATTTGGAAGCGGCAGACAAAGAGTAGATTGTTTCTGGAAGGTTTATTTTCGTGTTTTAGACCTTTTTTAACGCTTGTGTGAGCGAAGTGCAGTTTCGCCTCTGTCTGTGTCTGATTAATTTCTTTGTATTATGTCAATTTTTCTTGAATTAATACCTGAAAAAATGAGTCCTAAAATAAAATTTGAATTCTTTCAAGTGCTATTAATCGAAGAAAAGACAATTTTTGATGAAAATTGAGTTTGTTTGATTTGAAGTTTTCGAAATTGTACAATAAAGGGCATATGGTTCTACTGTTGAATTATTTAGATCTTTCTCCCAATCGGCGATTAATAGTTTGGGATCTTCGGCAGTTGAAAACAGCAGCGGGCGAGTTGACGATGATGAAGGAAAGAAAGAATTTTTAACTGGTGAAGGGGAAGGAGATGCTGTGACGGTGAATCATGCTGAAGCTGATGGTGAAGATGCAGCTGCGATCAGAGATCGTTCTCTGCAACTGACAGATTTTGATAATGATAACGTCATCAATGGTCATTCACATTGGGTGCCAGAACATAGTGAAGAGGAAACTGCTTAGTTTTTTTGTATCAAAATTGTTGCTAATTGTTTCGATAGGTCAAAATTAATTAACAGATGCAATCGAGTAATTTTGATTTTTTTTCGCTTGCTGTCTAAATTAAGATCACTGGCTTACAAAGGAATGGACAAACATGCAACTTTTTCTTTCTTTTCAAGTTCACCTAAATTCATTGCTAACAGGAAGGCAAATTACACTCTCCAAATAAGAAAGCGGAAATGTCGCAAAAAAACAGTTTCTAGTTTCAAATAGGACTTAGCTTTCAGAATTCTCAGCGGAATGGAAAAACTTAACCCAGTTTTTTTATTGGATTAGTTCTATAGGTGTAAATCATAAATTTTTTCTTGAAATTGAAAGAGCTTTAAGGAAAATCTTGAAATTCAAAAGTTGCAACCAGTTAAAAAAAATAAATATATATTTTTTTCGGTTTCCTTCAACTCATTGATTTTTTTCCAGCCTTCTGTTGGGGATACTCAACTGTTTTCAGACAATGATTCTTAGCTGCTCCGTTGCGCGTAAATTGGCGAATTTGTGGGCATAGCTGTACTCTGCGTGCAAAAATTGATCGAATGATCGTGATTGCTCTTGATTAATTTTGTCTATCTGAACATTGCCAGAAAACTCTGTTACAGTAATAAAGTTAGTTAGTTAATAGTTACCACTCCGTATACTATTCTAAAGAAGCTTAAATTATTCCAAGTTTTTGTTTTATCCTGAATTATTCGCCAAAGAGTGGGACAGAGGTCACGTTGCCACTTATGGATGAGTTGTATGTTCATGCTCGCGATTACACGAGAAATATTTGGTGCTAAGATAGTTCAGTAATCATCAGTTCATAAATTGAATACTCTTCTCGATTGAAACAAATTACGCCCATTTTTATTAGAAATGTCAAAGTCAATTCAATTCTTATCATCAGACAGTAGACTTTTTGACCTCATGTCAGAATATTTAGTTAAGCTGAAGAGCTGTTTGATTTTAGAACGATAAAAAAAGTTTTGCTTTAAAGTTGCATTTAATTTGCTTTTCATTGTTCTATGTACTTTAGTTGCTGTTTTTGAGCGATAATTCAAGAGTTAATGAAAGAAGTGAGGTTTTATTTTTTGTCCATCTTTTTGGCTAGCATGAAAAATGTTCTCCAGAAACATACGTGGAGATGGCGCAAAAACGGCGTTTTTTTTCAAAATTGGATTTTGTTTTTAATAGAAATCCAGGCTAACTATTAGTTATTGATCCTGTTTTTTTTTATCCGATTGATTAGTTTTTATCAAAAAGGTTTTTTCCCTTCATAAATGTGGTGTAATGTCATCTATGAAACTCCTGAAAAGGTTTTGAAAATGGAAATAATATGTAGAAAATCCATCCACTTTTATCACGTCTACGTCGACGTTTCTTAGCTTCATCACTACTGCTTTTTGGCTATATTCAATGATATAAATTGCAGTAACGAATTGAAGTTTCATTGACAAATATGTATGTTTGCACTAAGATATCGGTCTGATGGTTAATATTTCAAATGAAGTGGATAGATTATATTTGAAAGTAGAAAAGTGTATATTTTATTGATTTAGAAAATTGAAATTCCAAAAATTATCAATTGAATTTCTAAACTTAATTTTTTTAAGTTAAACTCGCAGTAAATGAGACAAAGCCTAAAGCATAAGATTATTGAGTTCATAAGAGTCAAAAAAAATTAATCGCCCGAGCATGGTTTATATGGTTGGAAAATTAAAATCAAATGTAAAATGATTTTCACACTGAGTCTCATGTAGGATTCAATGAAACCAACAATTTTTTGCATAAAGTTATTAAGCATAAAATAGAATATAATTTTCCTTTGTTTGAAGGCTTTCCCGCCTAATAACCTTTGCAATGAAAAAGGCACTGCAACCAGGTACTGCAGTTTTTCCCGTACTTTGAGCTTTTCTGCGTTTTGAATGTCCGTTCTGTTCGCAAATTTTTTAAGGTGGTTGTAAATTTATCAACTCCCATTTCAGTATATCGTTAATTGTCTTCGTTTTTTTCTCTTTATTGGGCTTAAAAGGTTTTATTTTATATTTCACGAGCAAATTTTGTTTTAATAAAGTGTTTTTGTAAGTGCAAGTGTAACTGGTTTTTGTTTTCAAGTTTTTTTATTTAAGTTTTTTTCGGCTCAATTTGTCTTCTCGAAAATTGGCGGCCTTGTTAACGCTTTGATAGTTTTGGTTCGATGCTAATTTAATAATAAATTGTTTTATTTTGCATAATTTTTGTGAGAAATTTTTCGACAAAATGACAACGATATGAAAGTTATGGTAGTTCAATTTTTTTTGTCAATTTTTCGACCTATATTATATTAACTAACTGACCTCATATTGCGTTGTTTGATGAGCGGGAGAGTATTTTGTGTGCTTATGGGTGTGTTTCTAGGGAGAGGGGGAAATGTTTTTATTAGGTCTTAAGACTTGATTTTTTTCTGCTCAGGTGTGTTTGGCGTTGTCACCGATGCTCTCCTTCCATTGCTAATTTTACATTATTTTGTCTCGGAAAGCTGTTTTCAAAATTTAGCTCAGCTGTTTGTTTTTGTAGATCTAGTTTTTTGCGACTTTTTTGCGAGAGTTTTTTGTCTGCTTATGGGTGTGTTTCTAGGGAGAGGGGGGACTTCAAATGTTTTATTAGGTCTTAAGACTTGATTTTTTTCTGCTAAGGCGTGTTTGGCTTTTTCACCGATGCTCTCCTTTCAATGCTGATTTCACATTATATTGTCTCGGAAAGCTGTTCTTCAAATTTAGCTCAGCTGTTTTTTTTATAGATCTTTTTTTTTGCGACTTTTTAAATCCCCCCCCCCCCCATTTCTTTGGAGTCGTTGAACGTAGATCAGAATCTTAAAAAACCGATTTTTTTTCAGGAAAAGTTCTTAAATTTGTTGAAGCTCAAGCTCATTTTTTGCAGTTAATGTTTGGATTCTTTCCAAATTCAATTTATTTGTTTTGTTAAAAGGAAGGCAAACTCCATTGTCGAACAGCAAAAATGTAAAGGAAAGTGGAATTTGATTTTCAGATTTTCCAGCTAAATAAAATATTTAGTTTTTGCTCGTGCTTCCTCAAAAATAAATAGTTTTATTACGCATGCACTCAGCAAGCGTTATCAAACTGGAATATAGATTTTTTTGGGTTCACAACTTTTTAATTAAAGCGTTTGAATCAGTTGGTATCTTGGTTCATAATGATTTTAAATTTCTTAGCGTCTACGGCACACAGTCTGTAGGTAACGAATGAGACTTTGGGATGCCAAAGTTCCTGGGTCCGAAACTGACCGGACCTGTTATTTTTTTCACTCAGGAAATAGTCCACTTCATAAAAAATTGCCGGTTTATCATTGTCATCTGATGTTTTGTCGGCTTAGTTGCCATACAGTAGATTTTTTAAGTGTTTTTTTTTACATTCTTTTTGCTTTTAGTTTTCTAATTTACCTGTGCTCTTTGAAATTTTACGAGGGAAAGAAGTTTTGTTTGTGCGTGTCTGTGTTTTGAGGTTGACGGAAAATTAATAACTTCTTCTTAAGTCTTGTTGATTTTTTTTGGCTTAAGGGAATCCTGGCAAGATATTTTCGGCTTTGTTACTGGGTACATAATCTTCTGATGCTTATTACACCATCTATTGTCTTGTCTTCTTTTTGTTTCAAAATTAGCCATATTCGTTCAAATAGATCTAGCTTTTTTTTTCGATTTTTTCGATTTTTTTCTCATTTTTTTTCTTGTTTTGTCTGTCAACAAAGAGCGAATCAAAAATTGTTCTCGAAATTCTAAGAGCGTTAAAGGAATCTATTTTTTCTTGAAAATCCGAAAGTTGAGATTTTTTCAAGAAACAAGTCAGGATTTTTTTCTGTTTACTTGCGTTCTTTGACTCCTTTCCAAGCGTGTGTTGGCTATATTTTGACTTAACTTTCTTGCATTGAATTGGAATTTGTGCGAAGTTCCACTTCTTCTCTGTGTTAAAAGATACTTCGCTCATTTTTTTTGAATGGTAGTTGTCATCAAAACTGTATCAAGCAGAAAAGAGCCGTGAGGCTCTAGGTGATTTGATTTTTGAGCGTCTAGCTGAGTCGTGATTGTAGTAAATACTCTTATAATGGTTTTGGCGATTTTTTTTCAGGAAACAGTCCTAAATGTGTTCACGATTAAATTTGATTTTTGCTTTTTAAATTTTTTCATATTAGCTTCACTTCCTGTGTTAAAAGGAAGTTAAACTCCTTTTTAGATGAGCGAAAGAGTAAAGGTCGTAGAAAACTTGATTTTTTTTTCTTGTTTCGAAAGATGAATTTAGTTTTCAGATTTGCAAGCTTAAAAAATTTTACCTAGTGGTACAGTTTTCTTAAAATGTGACTTTTTTTTCAAAAAATAGTCAATCATAACTGTTCTTGAAAATCGAAGAGCTTGAAGGCTTCGTAAGTTGAATTTTTTTTCAAAAAAATAAGTAGTTTTTATTCAGTTTCCTTGTGTTCATTGACTATTTTCCATCTGTCTGATGGATAAAATTACAGAGGTATCTAAGAAAATTATCACAATTTGCCCTAATTTTTTCTATCGGTTCAGCATGTCAGTTACAAAAGATGGTTGAAATTTAGATCAAAAAAGTTGATAGAACTGTCTAATGAAACGTGCAGTTGACAGACTATCTTAGTTGCGATACGTTGTTTAACATTATTAAATCCGTGGCGCCATTCATTTTGTGCTTTTGCCTCTATAATCAACTTAATGATTATACTTAACTTTATAATTTATCGTGTCAGAGTTGATTTAAAAATATAATCTAAACGCTCAAGTAGTTTCATCATTTTTTGCAATAAGGATGGATATCTCAATCGACAATGAGCTGAATTTTTTTTTAAAAAAATAAATCAATTATTTACATCTCTACAATTGAAAAAGTATCAGAAAAAAAAGAAATTGATTTATTGTTTATCAAAACACCAATTGAAAGAATAAGTTGCTTAAAAAATTTAAAAAGAATCTGTTTAACCCTTAACCAGTATAATGTTGTAAGCAAACGTTCTATTAAAGAATAACGAAATGACGAAACACATTTCGCATTTTCAGATAAAAAGGAGAACAGAATACAGCTTAACAATTACCGTGGTAATAAAAAAGTCT